GTAACGGTGCGTATTTTTTTACGTCTCACGGGCGGTGCGTAATGATGCGGATTTTTCGATGCGGAATTACGACGGTGCGTAGTTAGCGAAGCGGATTCTTACGACGCGGAATAACTCGTCGGTTTGCCAGAGTTCGTTCGTGTGGTTTATCGGGAGACTCCAAATTAACAAAAATGACTTAAAGAAATAAATATTTATTTTATGAGAGCACTTGGATCAATAATATAAAAGAAAAATAGTAACAACGAGTACATGAGTATTTTTGGTTTCGGTCTAACGGTTATAAATATCGGTAGTAAATAATATAATTTCTTATCGGTTCGATGAGTTAATGTTTCGACGGTACATGTGTATAACTCTAATTGTGAACGGAAAATAAACGGCGTAAATCTAAACAAACTAAATTATTTAATCAGTCGGTTTCGTACGGTACGGAGCAAAGTAATAAAAAATAAGTGATACCGCGTATATCCGAGCCTTGCTGAGTCGACGACGGTTGCCGGTACGCTGTGCCCTAAGACAGTGAGAGACTTCTCTCGTGCAAGGGGTATCGGAAGTCGAACGCCGGGAACACCCAACCGAGGCAGAGAACACCCTGCCCCTAAAACGACGGAGAGTCGGAAGTCGAACGCCGAGACACCCGGCCGAGGCAGAGAACGCCCTGCCCCTAGAACGACTATCGGGATGGGAGCGAGTACGACCGGAGCTTCAGAGTGCGCCCTGAGGCTTGTTCGAGTCGTACTCGGGGAATGGGTCTCGAACGGTTCCGCGAGCCGGCTTTTATACCGGTCGCGCTACCCCCACTTGGGGTGCTACCCTACCCGGCAGCTATCCCTTCTTGAGTTCTTACCCTCGAGTTGGGGGATCGGAATGCGGCCCTAAATGGGGGTTCTCACGTGGAGCCCGCGTGCCGCTTAGTAACAGCGCGTGCTGTTACAAAATAAATGAACATATGGACAAGTCATGGACAAGTCATATGTTTGTATAGTAATATACCACATTGAAAAAACAGCACCTGAAATAAAAAGAAAACAAGTAAGTTAAGTTAAGTTAAGTTAAGTTAAGTTAAGACTAGACAAAGTTCATTAAGGATCAAGGATTAATAAAAACAATTAAAGTTAAAGTTAAAGTTAAATAAATAAATGAATGGAACTAATATAATAAGTGATAATAAAAAAAACATAATCAAGTGGTCATATATTGAATTAAATTGTTAAACTGAGGAACTGAATAACTCAAATATTACTATTAATATTTGTTATTAACTGAATTTGCAAATGAAAAGAATTGATTACTGATCAATTTATAGTGGATATTAGTTGGTTGATTGGAACTAAAACGATAAAGACATAATTAGTATTAAAATTTCTCGATAATTGTAATATCATATCGGAAAATAGACAATAAACACTGCTCTACGGTACTATTAACGCAAATAGTGTGGGACGAGTCCGAGTGCGGTGTAGATAAATATACTTACTAGAGTCTCACCAAGAGAGGGAAACTCTTGATAATAAAACCAGGCTTCTCTTATAGATATGAACACAAATACGGATCAAAACGTCTCGGCGTCGGATACCGAGAACCGGCACGTGGGGGATATCGTCCTTGTTCTCCACGGGTCGTCATCAAGCAAAGGGCTAGCCTCCGCGTTTATGACGAGCGCGGAAAGCCGACCAGCTATCGTCAGTATAGAAAGACTGGGTGCTCCAATTACATTGGTACCGATGGGAAGGCAGGGGACGTCCTCTGGAGGAGATGCTGTAGCCGGCCCCTCCAGGGTCTTGGAAACTGTTGTGATTGCTTCAGACGATGAAAATGCCCGTTGTCCATTTGTAGAACGGACTACTCCTATGTGGAGGATACGGCTATGTCCGAGGGTTCTTCTGTTTCTGAAAAATAAGAGATGTGAAAAAACTAAAACCACTACCATTACTAGTAGTAGGAAAAGAAGGAAACAAGGCTCCCCCAAAGAGGACAAAATTGAAGAGGAAAGATACGCCGTACGCTTTTCCGTAGACAGTAGAAAAAAGATTGATGAGGAGATGGCCGGCTTGACCTTGGAACATGCCCCTCAGCTGAACAAAAGAATTAGGGAAATAGCGGACCAAATAGACTCTATAAGGGCAAGGTCAACGGGACTCAAGGGATCCTTCAGCGGGCAGATGAAGGTGCTGCTCGAGGTAATTAGGAGAACGAGTAACCTGCTGTCTATGAAAGCTAACTCCAATGAAGACCCAGAATACTGGAGGGCCCGCTTCTATGACCTGGAAAAGACGGCAAATGATAATAAAATCAAAGCAGACGCATTGGAGGTTGAACTGAAAGATGTTAAAAGAAGAGAGGCTATAAAAGGCTCCTATGACTCTGACCCAAATAATAGTGACTTACCTGTGATGACAGATGACGGAATAGACAAAAGTGAAAATAGATTAGGTGCGGTTCTTCCTTTTAAATTGAGAAGTTCCCTGAAAAAGAACACATATAATGAAAGGGAAATAATTATCGATAATAATAAAAAAGGAGCTTACAGTGTGAGTGATATTGGCAGCAAACCACAGGGTAGAGTGGAATTAGATATGGCGATAATCCGCTCCCTGGACAGGCTGGGTGACGGAATGACGCAGCTCATCCGTGAAACGAGGCTACTCAGAGAAGAATTCAACTCGGGCGGAGCCAAAAAGGATGGATTCCTTCGTCCCGGACCACCCCACTCGAATACATCTGAAAAACGGAAAGGTAAGAGTAGGAAGATAAGTAACAACAACAATAAGAAAAATTATAACTCTAAGGGCGAAAAAAGTTATGCGAAGGCCTTGGGCTCAAAGATGCCGCCCGGAAACACTCTTAATGGTAGTCCTATGCCTAAGAATCTTATAAATCTTAAGGCCGGGGATAAAAGTAGGGAAGTGGCCCCAGTTGACTCTGAGAATAAATATAAACCTGTAAATAAAGATACAATCTTGATGAATAAAAATAAAAGAAATAATAATAGTATGGACATTAATAGTATGAGCGAGGAAGAGATACTAGAAAATTTTGTTGAACTAGATAGTAACGAAATAGAGTGGTCGGTCTCTCGCAATAAAAAGAGTACTCGTAAAAGAAAAAGGTCGGGTTTAAAATCCACTCCCTACAGAGATAGTACACAATCTGATAGTAACCCTGAATATGAGTCCGATAAATATACAGTGAATAATTTTAAAAGAAATAATAGCAACAATAAAAATGCTAATAATAGTGATAAAAATAATAGTAATAAAAATAATAACCTCGGTAACGCTAACATTAGTAAGAGAAAACCAGTTAATAGCTTTAAAGACAAAGTGAATTTAAGTAAATTTAAGAAAGAAAGTGCCGCGTACCTCTGCCATAACAATCTTAACAGAAAGTGCGGATCTTACTTACGCGGAAATCCTTAGAATGGCACGGGAGAAAATCTCCTTGTCAGACCTGGGGATTAACAATACCAGAATTAAGAGATCTATTACGGGTGGCATCTTAATAGAAATTCCTGGCGAGGATTCTGACCTGAAAGCAGACATGTTATTGAATCACTTACAACAGATTTTTAAAGACATAAGTGGAGTGAGACTTAGAAAGCCTACTAAGAACTCACAGATTAAACTAACAGGTATAGATGATTCTATAACCGCATTGGAGATCCGCAATATACTCGCGGAAATAAGCAAATGCTCACCGGATAGCATTTCTTGTAGTCCGGTTAGATTTATCCGCGGCGGCCTGGGTATAGCATATGTTAGATGCCCGATAGCAGCTGCGGTAAGCATCCTTGAGGCAGAAAGGATTAATATAGGGTGGACAACGATTAAAGTGGAGCCAGTTGATCCGAAGCCTCTACAATGCTTCAAATGTCTGGCCACTGGCCATACACTGCAGAGATGTCCGGAGCCTAAGGACAGGAGAGCATGCTGTTACAAGTGTGGAGAAACGGACCACAAAGCCTCCGAGTGCGGAAATAGAGTCAAATGTCCTGTCTGTACTGACAGAGGCCTCAGAGCGGATCATCTGGCGGGTACGGCGGCGTGTAAGCCTATACCTCCAGGGAAGCCAATAGATATTAAGCAATATGTAAATAAAAATGTTGAAAGTGTCAGTTTACTTACCCCTACTTTACCTGTAATACATACCGAGGGACGAAGACCTCAGGATACGGTGGCCTCCACCTGCGAAATGATTATTGAAACGTAATGGCGAGTATACTAATGTGCAACGTAAATCATTCCAAACCTGCACAGGACAATCTCTACCAACTTATGCACGAGCATAATGCTGGTATAGCTATTATAACGGAGCCACATACGGTCCCAATGGACGATGACAGGTGGGTGTTTTCCACAGAAGATCCTTCTCTATCTGCTGTTCTCTGGCGTAGAATCGCGGGTCGATTCCTACCTATGCAAACACTGAAGCGCGGACGTGGTTTTTGTGCTGTAAAATGGAATTCCATGATAATTCTCGGTTGTTACTCCTCGCGTAACATTCCGGACCGAAATTTTAAGGGTTTTCTTGATGATATGTCAACTACTATTAGTAAACACAAGCACTGTCCAATTCTAGTTCTGGGTGACTTAAACGCCAGACACCGAGATTGGGATCCGAAAAAGAATGATACGCGAGGCGACTTACTCAGAAACTGGATGGAGGAGGTGAACCTGCAGATAGTAAATAATAAATTTATTAACACTTGTATTAGATGGCAGGGCGAATCGGTCATAGACCTAGCCATTGCTAATGAGTCGGCTAGAAATAGAATTAAGAGTTGTATAGTTGAAACTGATCTGGTTACCTTGTCCGATCATAGACTGATCCGATTGGTCGTGGGATCGCGTCGTGCTAGGGAGAAGTTTAAAACCATTAATAAAAGATTCCCTAGATGGAACTATAATAAACTGAATTCGGATCTATTAGTGGCGGGCTCTATTGGCATGGCTTGGACTTACGGCCCTTCGGATACAGACTCGGTACAAAATTATGTAGATAGGATATGCGACTCACTGAGAGATATCTCAGATCTCTCTATCCCACGTAGTAGCGGATTCAATAGAGAGTCGTCTTATTGGTGGTGCGAAGAGGTGGCGGCCTCTCGTGGAGTAGTTATGAGGACGCGTCGCGCTCTCTCCCGCTCTAGGAAAAAGGGCATTCTTACTGTCATAAACGCTAAATATAGAGAATATAGATCTTGTCTCCAAGCATACAGAAAAAATATAATTAGAGCTAAAAATAATGCATGGAATGATCTACTTAATAAGCTAAACGAAAACCCGTGGAGCCTTCCGTACAAAATCGTAATGAACAGAATTTGGCCCGTTTCTCATTCGATTTGCGAGACGCTTCCCCACGCAAAAATTGAAAGTATTATTAGCGTTCTCTTCCCGGATGACCATAGCGAGCATAATTGTGGCGACTCTCGCCCCCAATTCGTGTGGAACTCGGACCTTTCCGTAACTGTAACGGAGATTCGACGGGCTTTTAAAAAGCTGCATAGTAATAAGAAGGCCCCCGGTCCGGATGGGATTCTGGGGGGGATAGTCGCGGGTGGCTCGGTACACTCCATGGAGACTTGGAGGTCATGCTTTAACGCGTGTCTCGGCGAGGGCGTCTTTCCGGCAGTCTGGAAGACTGCGAAGCTGGTTCTAATTAAGAAAAAAGAGGGGATTCCTTCTGACCCCGGAATTTATAGGTAGGGATGGGCGATGTGTAAAAAAAAGATCGATGCTAAATTAATCGATGTTTGAATATATCGATGTTGATTAATCGATTATTCACAAAAAATATCGATGAATCGGTTATTTTTAAAAAGGAGTTTTTTATTGTAGAAATGGTTAAAAGAGTTAAAAAATCGTAGATTTTATAGAGGAATAACGCAAATTAATAAATATAATTTATTTTATTTCTCTTTCTCTCCCTTTTTCTCTCTCTCTTTCTTTATTAAAAAAACTTCCCATTAGTCAGATTTTCGAAATGCGGTACACTTTGTAGATGTTGCTGTCACTACAAATAATTTTCAAACATTATATTATTATTACTAATTATGTAAAATATACATGCTTTCACAACAAAACATAAATTTAGATATTGTACGATAGATTGATATAGCATTCTATGAGTAAAGAAAGTGGTTTTTATGAAGGAATAGTTTAAGATGGAAGTTCTGTTTATAATTGAAAGTTATGCATACATATCATCTACACAATCATGCAAACATCTTACATAACTAGTTCATAATGCATTCATAAAAATAAAATAAAAATACAACAAAGGATCAGTCTTCCAATAAAAGGTAAATCTCTTGAAAGTAAAACAAATAAAACGCAAAAATAAAAGACAAAACAGACAAGTAAAATTACAGTAGTTTTATGCAAGTCCCCATTCTTCTTTTGACAGACTGCTCAAAAATAATAACATGTTAAGATGCTCACCAGTAAGACGACTGCGATTATCAGTTTTCACATTTCCAGCGTGTGAAAATAAACGTTCGCATGGGACTGAAGTTGAAATAATACTTAGATATTGCAATGCCAATTTAGACAGTGTTGGAAATGCATGCTTTAGTGATTTCCAGTAGTTGAAAGCATTTTCTGAACGTTTGATTACCGGTTGATGCAAATATTGTTTTAATTCCAGACTCAAACTTTCATCTGTATCAGTCATCTCTCTATTTTTCATCACAAGATTATCGTGAAAATGCCACAAATTTGAAGAACTTTTTTCATCATTAGCATCTTGATTGTTTTCTTTTTCTATATTTTTATGTGAATGATTTGAGATCTTTTTCAGCTGACTGTCTATGTCTTGAATTGCTTGAGAAGCTGCTAAAGCGCTTTTGAAATGCAGCCTTTTGAAGCGAGGATCTAAAATTGTCGAGATTGCTAGAATTCGAGTCGATTCCAGATATTGAAATTTTTTATTGATCTGATTGAGCAATTTCTCTTGAAACTCGATGCCAATTTCTGTGGTAATTACGCAATCAGTAATAGCTGCTGTCATGCAGTGGATAATTGGAATTATGACACTACAAGTGGGATAATTTTCTCCGCTTATCTCGGTAATTACACTTGCAACAGGCCTCATCAGTGCTACCAAATTCTTTAAAACTGAAATTTCAGTCCTTGAGAGCATATCTGGCATATTGGTACATTTTAACATTACTGGATAAACATAATCCTCTAATGTTAAAAAACGCTCTAACATGTAGTAAGTTGTGTTCCATCGCGTTTCAACATCTTGGATAAACTTCAATATCGTTCCATCGGTTTTCCCATCACGATTTTGTAATCTTTTTAATTCATCTGATGCGACAATACTGTGTCTGGTAAGGCTCACTATCTTTTTTACTTTACTTATAATTTCCATAGCAGATTGGATGGACTGTAAAGCTTTCGGCACTAAATGGGATAGAATGTGCGCAAAACAAGCTAATTGTTTATTACTTCCAACTAATTTAGTAACTGCGCTTCTAATATTCGCTGCACTATCGCTAATAATAGCCATAATTTTGTTTGAATCCACGTGAAAATCCTCCATCACTTTTAATAAAGAGTCATGTAAGTAATCACTGGTATGATTCTTATCTAATGGTAAAACTCCCAAACAACCATTTTTCATTTCGCAATCAGCTTCTAAATAATGAATTGTGACACCAAGATAACTCTGATTGCTAACATCAGACCAATTGTCACATGTCAAAGTATACGATGGAGCTTCTTTAATTTTCTTCTTAAATTGTTCTTTCATTATTTGATACCTTGATTCCATTATGTTCGTAATAGTCTTTCTACTTGGAATATTATACAAGGGAACTGTAGTTTTCATGAGCGTCTTGAATCCCTTCGCCTCAACAGTAGAGAGTGGAACGCTTATCGACAGCAATCATGTACATAATTGACAATGTTATTCTATCAGCAGTCTGTCCGCCCTCTGAAAACATTATATTTTAACTTTTATTTTATATTTATATGTACACACATGTTGTTTAATTTTTCACTAACCTTCGAAGGATTTTATTTTGCTGAAAGCATAATCAATTCGTGATTCGTTGCCCTGTAATTATTTTTAAAATATATCAATATAATTATATATTTTACATTTTAAATCATATAAATTAAATCGTACCTGAGGTTTTTCTTTTAAAAACCTGAAGAGTTTCATCAATCGATTTAGAACTTTCTTTAAAAAGCTCAAAATCACATTTTCTTTTCTTTGCTTGTGATACTAATATTTCATGCTTTCTTGAAAGATGTTGCATTAAATTTGTTGTGTTTCCACTATGTTTTATAATTTTATCACAAAAGCAGCATTTTGCTGATGTATTATTATATTTTGTGTAATGTTTCCAAGCAAGACTTGTTTGTTTGATGGAAAGATTCTGCATCTTCTGTGGTTTACATGAAAGAGATTGATCTCTTGAACTTTCAGATGAAATATCATCACTTTCTCCTCCAGTATCTTGAATATCTGTTAACAATTTATTGATGATATATGATATGGATGGTAACAACTCCTGCAGCTTGCAAAAATTTCAAACTAAGTTGTACATATATATATATATATACTATCTAATAATTAACAGAAAGAGAAAAAGAGAGAAAGAGAGAAAAGAAATATATATACAATTTTGTGTAATAAAAATATTGCTTACCATTGTTAGGAAGTACTTGACTCATTGTCAATGTTACACATAACCAAACAGAGAGAAACTTGTATCTATGTATACACATACAACAAAGCAAACTAGACCGAGAGGCTTTTATCTAATTTACTAATATTAACATCACACGTAATTTATAGTTTCTTTGACGTCACTTTCCGTTTATATGTATATGTAGCGTAAACTCTTTTTAACGAAAATAATTTTAAAAAACACCTGTCTGACGCAACGATAGCTGTTGAGGAGCGTGCTATCAGTGCATTGTGTTAGCCCCGATCTACAATAGGTGTAGTAAACTTTAAGCCGTAAAAAATTGACTAATCACAGTCGATTATTCTTTTACGCTTTGACTGTGATTGGTCAATTTCTTACGGCTTAAAGCTTACTACATCTGTTGTAGATCGGGGTTAATGAGCGATAAAGATAGAATGACGCAATAGTGCTTATAGCGTGCTTTCTGACACAGCCGATGTCTGACGTAAAAATCGATGCATCGATGCATCGATCAAGAAAATATCGAACTGATTAATCGATTATTAGAAAAAAAACTATCGATCATTTCGATTAATCGGCAAACATCGCCCATCCCTATTTATAGGCCAATTTGCCTTTTGGACGAGTCTTCCAAACTGTTGGAGAGGGTCATCGTTTCGAGACTGAACGACCATCTGGGGCTGTCTGGAGGTCTTTCAGATAACCAGTTCGGCTTTAGGGTGGGGCGGTCGACCTTGGACGCAATTTTTGAGCTGAGGCGTATAGTTCGCGAGGAATGTGGATCGGGTAGAGTAGTAGTTAGTGTTGCGGTTTTGCTCGATATAAAAAATGCCTTTAACACGCTGCCATAGGGTGTTATTCGCTCAGCCATGGTCTCCGAGAGTTGGAGTTTCCGAGCTACCTTTGTAGAATTGTCTACGAGCACCTGTCCGAAAGGAGTCTGGTGTACACCGAGTCGGAGGGGGGTATTCGGAGACGTATGGTTTATCGCGGCGTCCCACAGGGTTCGGTTCTTGGACCGACTCTGTGGAACATAGGTTATAATAGCGTGCTCGACCTCGCTCTTCCGGCTGGCTGTAGCGTTCTTGGCTACGCGGACGATACTGTCCTTCTCGCTTCGGGAGAAGATCTAGTCGAGGCGTCTCATTGGGCAATGGTCGCGACTGGTATGGTTGTGGGGGAGATCGAGAGGCTAGGCCTCAAGATCTCACCCCATAAAACAGAAGCGATGGCCTTCCCTGCGCATGCGGTTGGACAGGATTCCCGGAATCTGATAATCAAAAATAAAGAAGTTGCTATAAATCGGACTCTAAAGTACTTGGGTATTACTTTGGATGGTGACTGAAGATTCACCCAGCACTTGGAAAACTTACATGCTAAAGTCAACAAAACAATTAATTATCTCAGGGGAATCATGCCCAACTGCAGAGGTCCAAATGAAAGGAAGAGAAAGCTTTACCTCAATGTGGTTCTTTCTATGATGCTCTACGGCGCCCCCGTGTGGGCGACTTCTTTCCGGGAGAATGGGAGGGCTAAAGCATTGATGAGAAGACTAATGCGGAGAATCACCCAACGTGTTTGCTGCGCATACCGTACGGTCTCCTTCGTGGCGGCGTCCATGATATCCGGGACCCCCCCGCTGGAATACCAAGCGCAAAGAATGGCAATGGTATATTCCCGAATGAAAGTTGTCATCGGCGAGGGAAAAGAGGTTTCTCCTGACACTAGGGTAAGGTGGCAACTCGAGGCAAGAGACCAGACCCTGCTGGATTAGAGGGTGAGCTTGATCGAGAGAAATGATTATTATTCGAGTCACAGATTACGCAACGCCCTTGTAACTAGATTATACGAATGGACTAATAGAAAGCATGGCTGGATAACGTACCACATGACCCAATTCCTTACGGGGCATGGCTGCTTTAGCGAATTCTTACATAGAATCAGGAAAGCAGACTCTGAGTATTGTTACCATTGCTTGGACGAGATAGATACAGCACAGCACACCCTCGAATCCTGTAGCTCCTGGGATGCAGAGAGAGGAGAATTGACGCGGGTCATCGGGGATAGGCTCGACCTCCCGTCCGTAATAGAATCAATCTTGGATTGTATAGAGAAATGGAGGGCCTTCTCGACCTTCTGTATAAAGGTATTAACCTGCAAAGAAGCGACGGAAAGGGAGAGGCAGGCGGCAGAAAAGAGGCAGGTGTTCGATCACCTTGACTCCGAAGCCTCGGAATAGGATGACTTAAAAACTTCTGTCATAGCTATACTTATAACTATTAGAAACTGAAATAGTCTAGGTTAAGTAAGACACCGTCTTGTTTAGAAATAATTATTTTTATTACGCTGTAAAGGGCAACTCGGGTGTCAATACACGTGTGTGCCATGTATATATGTATATATATACATACACGCATTGATGTGTGATATTGTGTTGTGTTAATTGTAAGTTGTTAGTTATTAAGTAGTTCTATCTTTAACAGTAGTATTTACGTGTATATATTGCGACGTGAACTAGCCTCGGAATCACGCCAGATCCGAGGGAGCACGCCCAATGGAAATCGGTACTCGAGGCATCGGCAATAACTGCTCGACTCGGTAACTTACGGTATCAGAAACAGATGCTTAATTCGGTAACTCGCGGTACTCCACGCTCGTCGGGAGCAAGGTAACTCGCGAAATCGGCAATAACTGCACGATTCGGTAACTCGCGGTACTCCACACAATTCGGGAGCAAGGTAACTCACGCGATAACGGTAACCGGAAATGGGCGCCAGGTGCGAATAATCGCACCGCGGTATCGGTAACTTTAATAGTTCTCAAAATTTGCTCGGCCGCTCCCCGCTCAGTATGGCAGAGGGGCGCAGTTCTTTTACTTAACGTAGATATCTGGAGTGAGAGGCGAACACAAGGACAACTCAATACTTAATAGTTAACAATAATGTATTTCCATAATTTGGCTTACAAGGGTAAAGATGTGCAGCGTTCGGCCTGAGCCGATACGGCGGAGACGGTTCAATGCGGTAGCAGGGCCGTTCGCCCAATTACTCGATAACAAGAATAAAGTTAGACAAATACGCGAAATCACGGAGATGCGATCCCGATAGTTCGCCGCTGATCCGACTCTATCCGGTAAACACGGGACTTATACTCTGATCATTCGATACGGCCGGTGAAGGCCAAATAAACAGACTTTAAGCGACGGGAGCCTAACGGCCGGGACTGAGATGTCGCGGAACGGCTATTTTTCGCGGGCTTTCCCGTTTCTCGCCGAGACGCGAACTTGGCGGTAACCGCAATCTCGCGGAGAACGTTCCCGGATCAAAATCCGCCCGCAGACATTCACGGTACTTCCGGTACGGTGATAACGCGGCAAACGGTAACGGAGCGGTATCGCAAGAAAACGGTAGCAATCGGTTTTTCTTTTCTTTTAAAAGACGGTAACGGCAGGACGGTACGGTAACTAAACGAACGGTAACGAAACGGCAACGAGAAAAGACTGTCGGCGCTGAATTCCCACAAGACAGAGAGACTGTTACGCGATATCCGGGGCCGGCTGGACATGCGGTAATTGAGCGTAATTGAGCGCTCACGATATCAAACACTACGGTTAATGTGAGAGACACTACATATTAAACGAACTCACGCTACCAGCCATCACCGGACGGAACTCTACGGCTACCCGAGAGGCGGCTTACAACGATTGGACGTCCTTGGCGTCTTCGGTGTCGTCGGGCTGAGTCCCTGATGTCGTCCTCGCGCACTTGTGTCACACCGAACAGTGACTCTTCTCGGCTCTGCCTCTAGGTCCTTCCAGATTCGCGTCGCCTTCCTGCGCATCCTGCCGATTTTCCGAAAAGGGGGGCCCCTGAGAACCGCCCACAGTTCATCCAGGGCGCCCCCTTCCGCTCACTGTGGTTTCCTCAAGTCTTTCGGCTGATAACGTGTCGGTAAGTCGATGTTCCCGGAAGAGACTGGTTAGGCTGGCCGGGCCATACTCCGGTCCTTCCGGGTGCAGCATCTTCGGGGTCCTCGAAGCCGTCTGCAGCCGGGCGAGGTCCGCTGCTGCGTGTCTTTGTGTTGCTTTTGACTTTGTGGCTGAAACCAAAGCGGAGTTAGATAGGGCTTGGATGGCGGAGGCGACGGAATCG